GCGATCTCTAATATAGCTTAAAATGGTTATTGAAAAGTTAGATTATCTATTATTTATGATGCATAAGACTCTTCCCACTACCACAGTCACCTCCAAAAATGATGAGAAACCAAAACTTTTCAGAATTATTTTTTTCTAGACTTTTGAACAGATGTGACCTCTGTTCCTTTTTACTGAGTGATCCTTAATGAATAACTTCTTGAAATATTTGGGTTGAATTATAAATTAATCGAAACCGACTTAAACCTAGAGCTGGTCCCCATGGTCGAAATTTTTGTATAGAAAACGCATTTAACTCTGTTAGATCAGCTGTTGTTGTTTGTGCCTGGCATATTTCTTGGCAAGTCTGCGCTTGTAAACATTGTAATTCATCCGAAGATGAACGACAATTTAATAATTTTGAGAAGCGATTGTTAAATTGTTGTGCATTATCTTTAGTTCTAAATGGTACACCAATTGTTGGTGATTGTATTAAAACTTTATGGAATAATCCCCAATCCCCAACTGATTATTAATAATTAAATTTTGTAAATGACATATAAATGATACACTTCCTACTGACTGACCAATCAATGTTATCTTGTTTGAAGTACCATGAAATGATTGAATATTTTGTTTAACCTATTTCATAACTAACTGTTGATCTAAAAGAGCTACATTACCCGGTGATTTATCAATATTAAAATAGAAACCAAATGCCCCTAGACGATAGTTGAATGTAACAATTATTACATATGTCAAATTAACTAAACGACTTAAATCATACAAGGGTGCGCTACTTGTACCTTGTAGAAAACTACCGCCATGAATATAAATCATGATGGTAGTAGATGACAAGGATCACTATTCAGTGGTCTAATGTTAAACAATCTTCACTCATTGTTTTTGACACAAGCACTTTGTGGATCTGTACAATTTTCTATACAACCATGACCTAATTTATTAGCTTCAAATATATTTGTCCATTTCTTCAATGATTTTGGTGTTTGAAATCTTAATTTGTTTAATGGAGGTTGAGCGTACGGTATACCCAAAAATAGCTGAGCATATCGATTATAAATACCATCAATTCTTCCGGATGGTGTAGAAATAATTTCAGTTTTTCTTTGAGAAATACCATTACATAACATAAACAATAAGTAAAAAGCTATTAATTGCTTCATTTTATTTGCAAATTTTCTTCGGAGTGTGTGCGTGTATGGTTAACACGGATAATGAAACATGCTTTTATAATAGAATTCTTTTACTTCTTCTATCACGAACAATTAGTGTATATGTGCATATCTGGTATAATAATAAAAAACAGATCATTTATCCATTTTTAACTCGATTATCTCTATCTGTTCACCTTTATTATACAATCATTTACTACTATTATTATTTTGACCAATAACAAAAAAGTCACGTGTAAGTGATGTGCTAATCATAGTAAATTTACTTTCAGGGAGTAAAAATAATTCATGCAATGAACATCTTTCGTGCTGAGAACCGAACAGATGACTCTTTTATAATAGAAAAGGATTTGTCGCAGTTCGCCAATTCAACTTTCGCCAATAGACATTCGCAGACGGTGGATGTCGGTGGTGACTATTTTTACTGACCGACTGACTTTACTGACCAAATTTGATTGATCTATGCCATGGTTACACCAATCAAATTTGGTCAGTAAAAATAGTCACCACCCGGATGTCCTCAAAAATTGGCGAATGTCGTGGGAACATTCGCCAATCGCCGATATGGCGAATGTCTATTTTGTACTTTTATTGTATTTTTTGCAGTTACAGGATGAGTACTCCAATGAATAATGAGAACAGGTACTGGCGAATGACGCGTGGACAATGGCGAATGTCGTAGGGGTACACTGTACAAAAGAAGACGGATAAAATGTCTAAAAAAGACGGTCACGCATCTAATCTAGACACTTCGACCATTCTTCTACTCGCAATCACCCAATCAATCTAGGATCTCATCTGTGATGAGCATCCATTTGTTACCAAATACATTTGGCAGTATGAAGATAAAGTCTTTGTGTACTTTCTACTTTAAACATTGATGCTCTTGCATTGTTAGTTCTATTTGAATTCGTATTTTTCAAATTCAAACTTCTTTTTCTTTGGTCAATGACAGAACGTTTTTCCAGTGAGATTTCGGATATCTTTTCAAATAAATTTCGTCCTTCAGATCTTCAAAACATTTGCTGTGACGATACTGAGACGAAGGGTCATAATAAACCTCAACAGCAATGTTTCCTTCCTAGTCACGAAACATATTTTCTGATGTATCTTCAATAACCCTTAAGGCTGAAGCTGATATTTATTCACACATATTTGAAAGAACACAAAAAAATACAAATATTATACATTTACAGTCTACAATTTCAGGCAATGTACAAATATTAAAATACATCGAGAAAGCAATACCTGTCTGCCACCGGCCATGTCGTTGACTCTCTACCTTGACCAGCCGGGTATGAAAAATCCAAAAATCGTCCACTAAGAGTTCCGGTCGCATCTTTCGACACCTCGAGTACTACCATGTGGTTAGACTCAACGGGTTTGTTAACAGTCCAGCCGAACGGCGCTTGAACTGTTTGACCATTACGCAAACGTCCACTTAAATAACATTGAACACCCGTAATGCTTAGGAACTGGACCACTTTTTTTATTGGTAAGCCAGCCGCCTTATACACTGTCTTCATATCAGAAAAAGTGGGTAAATCCACCAACATGACGCCAGTTTCATGGATAAGTGCTTCCAACGTTTTACCCTTCAATGCTGCCAAGGTCTACAAAAACAATCTTAGCTATTAAAAACATTTCATTCTTACGGTTTATATTTCTTTACCAGATAAGCACAATGAGCACTGTCCTTCGTGTGGAACGTCATCACATCAGCGTCGGCCACGAACGTGGCTGTGTTGTCGGCATTCGTAGGAAAGCATTTTTTGTTATCGTGCGTAAACATTTTTTTATCCGTCGTTGGCCGAGTGTCTGGATACGGCGCCCCACATGTTGACTGTTTCGGTGTCCCCGTGCCTTTAGGAGCTATCAGGAAGGCCACATGAACTACTAGTAATAAACACTGCAACGTTCGGGAGTTTGGATTCATTTTCTCTGATCCTATCTAAAGAACATGTTCGAGTATTACACCTTAAGAGTAGAGAAATGAGAGGTAGCTGTAGGACAGTTCTACATCACTCTAATGTCATATGAACTGGTAGTCGGTAGACCGATGAAATTAGAAAACTAGACTAAGATAAATTCAGCATTACATTTCTGAAAACGCATAGTCTCATCATAACGCCTCTTATACAACAAAGCATATATCCTTAGTAGAGATGCAGTGATTCAACCGGCTGAAAAAGCTCACATGGCTTCAACAAGCCAGACTTGCAGTTTATTGCATACCCGTATATGAGGGATGTTCGAATGTTGTTTCGCAATTAAGGACATTCTTCCTTCACATTGTACAGCAAACAGATCTTCCTAAAAACTTACGGATCAATTCTTTTAACACGTTCACTGTTCGCGTATCATATATGATTCATTTATTTTTTTATTTTTATAAAGTCACTATTCACAATTTCAAGTATAAAGACACTGTTGCTTCTGTGGCCCGCATTAACTACTAGAAATAGTACACAAACCTGTTTAATTGATCCAATATTCGAACAGTATGCTCTCAACCAAATGCACGAGATATTTATACCCAGAATTTCTCTCTTTTCTCTCTCACTCTCTATCCAAAAATTATTTTTTCTCTCTTGCTATCTCACTCTCTCTTTATTTATTTTCTCTATTTTTCGTTCAGTCGCCCAAACTACACATCGCCGAAAACAATCACCGTGCATATTCTTATGCAGTTTAAATGAAAAGAAGCGTCAAACTTCAAAAATGACACATGGCTCTTCGTCTAGAATAATCTGTATCTTTCTACAAGAAGCGCTGCAACTGTGTGTACGAACATTATCAACTAAAAAGCATATTTAGGCTAATCTTGCAAATGTGTCATATGTGATATAAGAACACAATGGTAAAAAAATAAATGAATCATATATGATACGTGAACAGTGAACGTGAATTCTGAAAAGTTTTGGTTTCTCATCATTTTTGGAGGTGACTGTGGTAGTGGGAAGAGTCTTATGCATCATAAATAATAGATAATCTAACTTTTCAATAACCATTTTAAGCTATATTAGAGATCGC